AGAGGCTGGAACAGCTCTGCTGTGGGGACAGGCTGAGAGCTGGGGGTGCTCAGCCTGGAGAGGAGGAGGCTGCGGGGAGACCTGATTGCGGCCTTCCAATACTTAAAGGGGGCCTACAAGAAAGATGGGGGCAGACTTTTTAGCAGGGCCAGTAGCGATAGGAAAAGGGGTGATGGTTTTAAACTAAAAGAGGGGAGATTCAGACTGGATACAAGGAAGAAATTTTTTACAATGAGGGTGGTGAGACACTGGAAGGGGTTGCCTGGAGAGGTTGGAGATGCCCTATCCTTGGAAACACTCAAGGCCAGGCTGGATGGGGCTGTGAGCAACCTGATCTGGTTGTAGATGTCCCTGCCCATTGCAGGGGGGATGGACTGGGTGGGCTTTAAAGGTCCCTTCCATCCCAAAGCGTTCTGTGATCCTACGAGCCCCCAGGGGCCAGGCTTGTGCCCAGGCTGGAGAGGGGACCTGAGCCCTGGGGGGGTGCGACTGTCCTGGCACTGAGGGGTGGACTCGTATCTGAGAGCAAATTGGGAGCTATTGCACTGAAAATTCCTCCTCCTAATTAGATAATCAATGAAAACATCATACATGTGCAGCATGTTACAGGGAGGTATCTTGTGGAAAACGAGTATTTTGAACATGTCATTCTACAAGGGAGACAAAATCGGGAAAACTAAAGCGCGTGATGTGTTTGGGTCAGGGATGCCGTGGTTTTGGCAGCAGCTCCCCCCTCCGAGTGGGTACGACACCCTCCTCGTCTGCCTCCCTCTGCTTCCCGTCACCTCTCTGCAGAGCCAGGAGCTTTTCCTTTTCCAGGGCGGGTTCCCAGCTGGCTGCCTCCTGCGTGCCTGGGGAGGGAGGGAGGGCAGAGGGGGGTTTGCCCCGCTCCATGGCCCTGGGAAAAGAGGGGGAAATCTGTGCCTGAACCTCAGGGTTCGCCTGCTAATGGCGAGCATGAGAACGAGGAGAAAAGCTGAGAAGTCTTACGACCTCAGCTGTAGTAACATGCAGGAATTGTTAGCCATCCCTAGAGACCCTGTAGAAACAAGCAGGCGGCTTTGAGCAACCTGATCTAGTGGAAGAGGTCCCTGCCCATGGCAGGGGGTTGGCCTAGATGATCTGCAGAGGTCCCTTCCAACTCAAACGGTTCTGTGATTCTGGTGGACGATAAGGCCCTGCCTGATTTCACAGGCGTAGCCACTGATGACCCCAGCGCAGTGGTGGCAGGGCTGGCTCCTGAGCACTTCCACTATGAGATGATGAACAGAGCGTTTTCGTTGATTTTGGATGGGGCTCCTCTTATAGCTATACATAAAGCCAGGTATTTCAATGCTTCTCATTCTCCATGCTGGAGGAAAGCGGCCCCTTTCCCTTCCCCAGCGTCTCTGCAAACCCTCCTCCTCGCTGCCGCTCAGCCTCTCCCAGCAGGAGAGGGAATTTCAAGCCAGATTTTTTCAGCAGAGGGTCCTAAATCCACCATCAATTCCACAACATTCCCCAGGCTCCGCTCCAAGCCAGCCCAGCCGCTAGTGAACCTGTGATCCTGGGCGACACTGGAGCCCGAAGCGCTCGTCTGCCTGAGCCCTGCGGCTGGACTGCCAAAGCTTCAGGGCTGCAAACGCTGCCCGTGCTCCCCGGTGCAAACCCGCAGTAACAGCGTCCAGCAGCGACGCCAGCAGCCGTCGTCTTCCCTCGCGCCCCGCGCTGGCTGCCGAGAGCCGAGATTCACAGAGCGGAGCCTGCTGCAAAAACCCAGCTCCTGTTTTTTCTCACCAGGACACAGAACAACTATTTTATCAGCCCTTTGCGTGACTGACTCGACACCACGTTTCACACTGATGGTTCGAGTGTTTCTCTGCCTGGGTGCCGGCGGGGCGACGCGGGTTACTGAACCATGCAGCCTTTTGGGTTCAGTTCTGCGAGCTGTTTCCCCGCTGCCCACGCACCGGCTGGTGCATGAGGTCAGCCGGGAGCTCCGTGGCGTGCGTTCCTGCAAGAAACCGGCGCCTTTGCCGCCGCGCTACCACGGGTACGGTGGGGGAAGCGAGCCTGGTGAACAGGATCCACACAGGTTTTTTTCTTTTTTAGTGTCTGTTTAGCTCCGTGAAGTCATGCACACGCAGGAGAGTCTCAGCTTTCACTTTGCATTGAAAGTTTCCTGGATGCCAAAAAAAAAATATGAATAACGAAGGCAAAATAACTCAAAACTCGACAGGCAATGAGAAAACAGCTCAGTGTTTATCTTCAAAAAAGCCTTGGGGTTTTGAAGGCAGTTTGGGGGGGTGCATCCTACTGCTTTACCCCAGTCAGGGCAGACAGGGAAAGACCCAGTAATACCACCAATTTCCTGGTTAAAACAAAACAACGGCAGTATTAGCAACTCGTCCTTTCATCACATTTTGCTGCCATCTCCGGTTCAAGCACTGTGCAAAGGGATTTGCGGTCTGCTCTGGACA